TCAACACAACAACTTGTGGAGTTAGACCATATTTATCAGGGTTAAATAATGTTTCAATGCTGGTTGAAGACTCGACTCTCTTGCTGATGATTTCAGCATGTTTCCTTCCTGTTGCCGTAATTTCATGTTCTCTCTCCTCTTCAGACCAGGGATAATCTAGGACGATTAGGTTTGAGTATCTCTGGTTTAGGGGCACGTATTCACCAGGAATAGAATTAGGATCTTCAATTCTTTGAATTTTTTTTTTAACATGGCTTCTGTAATCTAAAGGAAGGATGAATCAATAAAGAAGTGTGAAATCAAAAGGAAGGATGACTCAAAAAGGAAGCATGAAAGTAAGGCCTGCACAAGCCACTCAATTAGGGGTTTTGCTTCTGGATCTTCTCCTTGAAGCCACCCTCATCTACCCCCTGGATTAATGTGTTGAGGGAAGTTGCAGGATACTCTGTTAATTGTTCTAAATCAGAACTTTATCAGAATAGGCAAATATTTGTTAACCAATACATTAAATAATTGGCATATATTAATTATTTACTTTTTATTATTTCACATAATATTTCTCAAATAATTGCATTAAATATGTTATATAAAGATGTTTCTTTATACATTGATAGATGGAAATCTTTAAACCTTACCCCCTTGGGATATGGTAAATACTCTCAAAATGAATGTAATTCATCGCATACTTTATATTCATACAGATGTATATGGGTTTGTGTGTGTACAATCTATATTTAAATATAGGTGTTTCTTTGGATATTGATTGGACATTCTTTAAACCTCATCCCGTTGGGATATGGTAAATACTCTCAGAATGAATGTAATTCGCAGTATACTTTATATTTTGTGTGAATTTTTTTTATTCCGAGAAAGACACACACACACAGAGATGATAGATGTACCACAATTTAAATATCTTCTACTGTAAATTTTTATAGGGTTCTTCAATACCAACTATCTATTTCAAAGTAACTTTCTCAAAATATCTTAGAAAAACATGCAGTTGTTATTTAAAGATGGGGCTTGGGTTTCCCAAATTCTGAATTATACCATTATGCATATCTACTGATCATACCAAATTTGGGACAACTTCATTCAGTATAAATTCTCCTTCCTAGGCCCTTTTGGAATATTTATCTATGGCATTCTTAATTACTTAGATGCAACTGCCTTCCAGTCATAACATATTAGACATAACCCCTGTCATTATTACCTCAAGTTGAATATTGTGGTATACTATTTTTGGAAAACTGCATTTTCATGACTTTTCTTGTGCTAAGTTGATGCAATGCAATAATCCAGACCTGAAAACTGATTTTTTTTTTTAAAAAACTGTATTATATGGAAGACTTGAATAGATGCTGGGTTTTTACTTTAGAACAGTTATGGAATGATAATGATGGGTTTTTATTATTTCCTTTGTTAAAGGGTAAATATCTTTTTACTTTAGTATTCCAATGACAATATTGACAACTACAACATCTGCTGTCATGTTAATTCGGACCTGCAGCATTTCAGCTTCTGAGACACATAAATGATTAGAAGTGATAATCAAATCTTATGAAACTTAAAATTAGTCATTATAAATACTGATTTCCAATAAATCAGTTTGATATGTACATTTTAAAAACTGAATGGAATAAATAAATTGAGATCTAATCTAATCTAACACAGAAGATTGTCTTAACATCTGTATCAAAATTTTCAGTATATCTTAGATTATAATTTATTCAACATAAAATTATGTTTTGGATTTATAGGTCCCTATTACACTTTTACAGAAAAGGAATCCATAAGTCATTGCCTTGTTAGAGATATGATGAGAATAAAGTGTCATTTAAGCATACATGTTTGCAATGTCCTATAATTATTATATTTTGAGAAGAGGTTATTATGTGTATCAGGTTCACTTGAGATGGGTTTCAATATTTGGGGATGGCTATTTTCTTTTGAACTACTATCTATTACATGGAAACTGGTGGCTGGAGAGCAGAAATGGATTCTCTGGGCCATTCTTATCACTAGCAGACTTGTTGTTCAAGATTGGAAAGATACATTTATGGCCCTAATTAGCCAGAGGACTGAAGACTTCAGGTTACTTGCAAGTTCTGAACAAGTTAGGTGTTCAGAAGAGACTATGAATGAACAATTATAATGTAATAAGACCATCTTTTATTGAAGCTTCTATGTAAAACTAAGAGATGATTACATATATTTCTTTTATTATTGGTTTCTCTCTTTTTACTGTTCTGTTGGTACAAATTATAATATTTTAGAATTTTTTTTCTAAGTTCAGAATCTATTTTGCAGCTGTTATGTAATACTTAACAAACTTAAATTTAGGGCTGTAATTTCTCCTCCAAATTCATTAGTTTACCAATAGATATGAGTTTACAAAATCTTTTGAAATGTTTGAAAGTTAGTTCCTTCCTTCCTTCCTTCCTTCCTTCCTTCCTTCCTTCCTTCCTTCCTTCCTTCCTTCCGGCCAGGAC